TGTCCTTTTGACCCCATCTCACCCCTAGGCTGCTGACCCGTTTGCTCTTGTCCCCTCTTAACCTCTAGAACAATGTTTGGCACATAGTAGGCTTTCAGTAAATATTATTGAATGCATAATAAATGAATGAACGTATACTACTGCAAAAGGTAAGGATTCCAAACTGCTGGGAGGAGGAAGTGGAGGTTGTTGGTCAGGCTGGGATTAATTCTTGATCCTTCCAATCCATTATACTTGCTGATCTTTGTAAAGTCTAAATCTGAGCATGTTAATCTCAGTTTATAATCATTAAATGGTTAAAAACCCAAATCCTGGCCCTCTGTAACTGGACTTGCTCCTATTGGCTCTCTGTGTTTCAGCCACGTTGGGCCCTCAGTCCCTCTTCCAGCTTATCCTCAGGGAAGCCTTTCCTGACTCCCTAGACTGCCTAGGAATCTACTTTACACTTGAAGAATACCCATTGCTTCTCCTTGGCAGCATGTGTTTAATAAGACCCACTGTATTAATATGTACATTCCATCACTGTAGAAATATTCAAGGCCAGGCGTAGTGGCTCATGCCTGTAATCTCAGCACTTTGGGAGGCTGAAGCAGGCGGATCACTTGAGGCCAGGAGTTCAAGACCGGCATGGCCAACATGGCAATACCCCGTCTCTACTAAAAATACAAAAATTAACCAGGCGTGGTTGAACCTGGGAGCTGGAGGCTGCAGTGAGTAGAGATTGTGCCACTGCAGTCCAGCCTGGGCAACAGAGTGAGACTCTCTCAAAAAAAAAAAAAACCTAGGGTATAGACTCATCCCAAGCTGATCATTTTTCTCTTAATAGCAGACTCTTTCTGTCCAAGAAAGAGTTAGTCTTCTGTTAGTAAAAGCTTAGGCAAAAAGCAGGAAGCTGTCATTATGTCTCCTGTACTAAATAGACCTTGTTTGCCTCTTACAAGCCAAGGCGAATACCTGGACTGCATGGTAGTAAGTATCTCCCTCTCTCTCTCTCTCTCTCTCTTTCTCTTTTTTTTTTTGAGACAGAGTTTCACTCTTGTTGCCCAGGCTGGAGTGCAATGGCATGATCTTGGCTCACCGCAACCTCTGCCTCCCAGGTTCAAGAAATTCTCCTGCCTCAGCCTCCTGAATAGCTGGGATTACAGGCATGCGCCACCACACCTGGCTACTTTTGTATTTTTAGTAGAGACGGGGTTTCTCCATGTTGGTCAGGCTGGTCTCAAACTCCAACCTCAGGTGATACGCCTGTCTTGGCCTCCCAGAGTGCTGGGATTACAGGCGTGAGCCACTGTGCCCCGCCATAAGTATCTCTTTATAGTGAAGACATGAGAGTCAGCTTTGTGCCGGTGACTAGCTATGATCTAGATCTCTCAGCCACTTCACTTGACTCTGAATCCTTCATGGAACAACCTTCTGGTTTTCATTTTGCTTCCTGATTCATTTTGTACACTGACCAGCCAGCAAGAACCTTTTGTGCCATTTGGCACATTTCTCATTGTAAATTATTATTATTTTTCAGATAGAGTCTCACTCTCACCAGGCTGGAGTGCAGTGGTATGATCTCGGCTCACTGCAACCTCCGCCTCCCGGGTTCAAGCAATTCTCCTGCCTCAGCCTCCTGAGTAGCTGGGATTACAGAAGTGCACCACCCAGCTAATTTTTGTATTTTTTTTTTAATAGAGATGGGGTTTCACCATGTTGGCCAGGATGGTCTCGATCTCCTGATCTCGCGATCCGCCTCCCTCAGCCTCCCAAAGTGCTGGGATTACAGGCATGAGCCACTGCGCCCGGCCTCTCATGGTAAATTATTAAATGCACAGTCTGAATCATCTGGTAGTCCTTGGTGAATCTGGTTAGCATATTGTCCCTCCTGTACCTGATCAACTCTTGGTACAGTGATAAAACCGAACTGCTGATATACTTCTATTTTTTATTTTATTTATTTTTTTGAGACAGAGTTTCACTGTGTCACCAGGCTGGAGTGCAGTGGTG